TGTGTTTTCTTAAAAAACCGCTACAACATACTACCTTGCTACAACATGGTATACCTCTGAAGTTGTCGTTTGTTCCTGGTCATCTTTAATTCGTTGCAATTCCCATTTTAAGATCACTTCTGCCAGATCCACAGCAAGTTTACGATGTTCAATAGACGCCTAAACACATCAACAAAATATTTGGGACTTTTTTGTGCTTTAATATAGGAATTTTTGACTGATTGTCGTAAATAAAACGCCAGGAAATACGAATACAGTCAGCCATGTGAAGTTAATACCGATTTTCGCAAAGGGCGCCCAGCGCGAGAGAACGTTGCTGACGACTTCAAAATTACATCGCCATCTTGGGAAGCGTGTAACCAATCAAAGAGTGCATAACTGGAAATGAGCACTCTGTTAGGGCTAAGGTTAAGTTAATTTTCTTTTCTCAAAACTGAGGAAAATAATTTAGCAAAGGTATCATATTGTCGAGATTTTCTTCACTTACACTGGTGGTAAATCCTAGCCTCTGCATAGCGCTAACCATGTGTTGAATCAGATGGATTCTTACAGGATAGTACACCCGATAATGACGAACCAATAATGTCCTGTTGGAAAACATATTCCATAATGTTTTTGAATCAGACTACACTACTACTCTATAAACTAATGTATGTTTCCGTTTGTTCGCTAGAGCGTGTTTCCCTTCCTATCTTCTCACACGGGCGCACCTCTCGCGCGCTTCCCTCTTACAAGTTTTATAAGAAGAGAGAGGACTGAGAAGGAGTCAGAGACTACAGCACCGTTGTTTTCGTGGGTTTTCTAACCGAGCTACTTCTATCAATTAAGACCATACGAACATCGGCAGGATGTTCAAATAACTTGAACTAGACACAAGAAATTTTGAACGTACAGCATGTGAACCAACTGGGCCACAGTGTGACCTTCTTCCACGATAATTTTCTTCGTCCAGTGAGTCAGCATCGCCTAAAAAGGAATAAAAACCCTTGTATTAGAACTCAGAAAATAAAATTCGATATCAGATCGATGAACAATTGAGGCACCGTCTGATTCTCAAACTATTTATTTGCTGTAGGAGGCAAATTTGTAAATAATGCCTTACGTTTCCATCTTCCATTCTTGCTGGCATGGCAGGCGTCAAAATGTCCAAAGCCTGTCTCACAACACCGCGAGCCTCGACTGCATGAGCTTTCAATAAGCTGTGAAAAACCTAACAGGACAGTAAATGTGATCATTAGAAATATTCACCTCTTTCTGGGTTGTCCTCTGAAACGGTTTAAAATTCGACATTTCATCTCGTTTATCACTGCGTGGCGTTGTACAATAAATCTATTTTTCCCTTTCTCTTGCTACAACTCTACCTAAATCAACTCTGTACAGAGGTGTTCACAATATTTTCTCACTTCTTATTGTTTCAGTTCCGACACAAGAGCCTCCCTGTACTAAGAGCATGCCCACTTGTGTCAGTGTTTTAAAACACACTGTATTACTATTTCTGAATGAAATTGGATCCAAAGTTCTTTGAATCCTCATCCCGCCCACAAGTCACACCCTTGTGCCTTTTGACGATCTCTTAACAGTCCTTAACTTTGACAATGTAGTGCTCCTTTTCTTTTGGTAGCTCATGCTGTACCTGTAAGACGATTCTCTTGTGGATAGCAAACTTGGCAATGATGTGGGCCAGTAGCAAATGACCATGGTACTTTGTGGATGGATCCTAAAACAAATAGAAACTCCGTTAAATAACGATCCAGAAAGTTAACAAAAATTAAAGAACGGCAGAAACGTGATTGTGACTGAAGAGAATTTACTTAATTTCCATACGCGAATATAAGTTTTTCTATAGATCCCTTAGGGAGAAAAACTACTGCCACATTAAATTATTAGTAAATATCGCGCGATAATGTTATCTTACCACACACTGTTTTGGCAAAAGACAGGGCCAAGCAAATGTCATCAAACGACGTAATTTAATACCTTGCCGCCTAAAACAAACGGAAAAAAGTAATTTACAAACCACTTTTGGCTTGGTAAGAATTTCACGATACATATTTATCAATGTGGAATGTTTACATCAGATTAAAGATCAAGGTCCAATGAGAGAATCCTGGATTACGGTACAGTAATAACTATACACAAAAAAAATACTATTATAAATGATAAAATAGGAAAAGAAGATAGAGAACCGCCCAGTGGACGACACTTAAAAACACAAAAAGGACTTTTAAAGACGTTATCAATTACTTAATAGTTTTTACTCTTGGAATAATCTCGCATCTGTCAAAAAAGGAGTTTTCTCTCTCAAAAATAATACGCAAATTTTTTTATTTTAAATTTGAATGATTTTTCGGTAGCTCCCTAGGACGCGATTACTACATAAAACTCAATTTGTTTTCCTTAAGTCGTGCAAATAAAACATTGTTTCAAAGTCACTTCACCCACTTGTTTGCAGCGTCATGTATGTGTTGTGAGGCGTGCTCTACCAGCAACGCTGAGAACTGTAGCAACAAAATACGAACTGCATCCTGCAATCACAAAGAAACAGATACTACAATTGTCATGGGTTCTAAAATATGCCATTGATCCAAGAATGTAAATCCTCAACACTTAAAACTTTATTTTTATCATCGTGTGGTCTGATCGACCGGGTGAGAGTACTCTTGAAGAAGATATCTGAAAACCCTTTCATACCAAACAAATTTGTTCTGTCATCAAAACACGTCCAGGGCTCGGGCCCAGGGCTCGAGCCCAGACCTCTCGTCACGGAGTTCAGCGCGCTGCAAGTCAGGCCACCGCGCCTCCCAGACTGAGTTATAAGCGACTGTCTATCAAAATCAAAATGGATTACTTTTAGTGATAATATTAAAGTTCTACTTACAGATGTTCCAAAGGGATTATCAGGATCCACAACTTTACACACAAACACGCTGATAACATTTTCATTGCTGTCCTGTTCAGGGCTGGGGGGTCCACCTATCAGACCGTCACCCTCCCCCCGCTCAAACGACACTTGAAACATGGGAATCAACACATACTGCAAGGCCTAAGGAAAAAATAGAACAAGTATATCGAAGTGAGTTACCAGTGTACAACGATTAAACCTTAACTTATAAAAAAAGGTAATTGGTAGACCAGACATAATTTTTATTCAGACGAGAGATACGGCAAGTATGAGAGATGCAGGCGTGCGAGATTCTATCTCGCATAATACCTTGCTTCAACATCACGTCACTACCATTTCACGCCCTGTCCATGTGCAACAGCGCCTACAGCCAAAATTGACAGCGTTTATGCCTTGCGTCAAATATAAAACCGGAAAAAACAGCACTTGGAGCGATTGGCGTAAGAGGCCTCGCTAACACTTTACCAGAGCACGAGAAGGGACAAACAGTGAACGTTTTAAGAATGGCTTGAGCCGCCGATTGCTAGAAATCAAACCTAGTTAGGGCGTTCAGGTTTAGCTAACTAAGTTTATTGTAAAGAGCACCTTGGCTTTAAGTTCCTGAGGAAAATTCTGATCATGAAACAGTTCCACAAATTTGAAGAAAACAATTCTCTTTTGTTCCACCGTGTAACCCTGGTGAAAAAGGGGGTAAAAATAAGGAAACAAAAATAAATAAATAAATAGGTGAATAAATCATTTAAAACAAATAAACCTTTTGATCAAAAGACCACACCATACACTTCAATTGCAACAATACTTATAACAAGCAAGACGTTATGGCTGTGCTCTTTGTGAGTCTTAGATCATCACAGAATTATTTGGTTTTCTTAACCTAAGTTGCTAAGGTTTAGCTCTTCGCCAGAGGGGCTAACGCTTACAGGTTACCTCCGAACACATTGGAATGACTCCCAGGCAGGAATCTCTTCTGCCTCTAACACCAAGACACACTTATAAACGTTCATTTCTCCCGAAAGGAAGCGGAAGTAAACTTTACTTACCTTGGCCACCGTTTCATCTAGAAATTTTCTCAGAAAATGGAAGTCAGGAACATGACGAATGGTGAACACACGAAGTAACTGGAAGAGTAATTCCACCTCCGATGGTTTATGCCTAAAATGGAGGAGACCAAGAACATTGTTTGGTTTATAGAGAAAGAAGAAAGAAGAAAGACCTTCATCCAGAAACACGACATAAACGTAACTCCGACTTACTTGATGTAGTTCAATAAACATTTTGCTAACAGCTTTGGTTCTCTCCAGCGATGAATTGGTGTTCCATCCTGGAAGGAAAAAAAGAGAAAACGAAAATTACACAATGTTGAAAACACAGACTTTCAGTTCCAAAGAGCTCCATAGAAAAACATATCCTTACCTTTT